GCCCGCGCATATGGGTGAGGAGACGCCAGTAGCGGTGAGACCAGGAGGGCAGCTGGGATGTCAGACCCCCCTCCAGGGCAGCTCAGGCCCGGCCCTGCCTCTGGCAGGCAGCAGCCACCCTGCATGCTGGGCCCTGAGCCCCACACAAACCCCACAAAGGGCGGGGCCAGAGGGACACCCAGGCTGAGATGAAACGGTTTGTCTCCTGCAGCCCAGTGCTGGGCCATGCAGCCATCCTGCCCCACGGAGCCTCCCAGACTGGTCCCAGCCCCTGCAGGGGTTATCGGTGTATCAGTGGGGAAACTGAGGCACCGTGCGCCAAAGCAGCTTGGGCCCCCAGTCAGTGCCGGCACCAGCAATAAAACCCAGGCGCTGGGCCCTGGTTACACAGGGAGAGACTTAGTGAAGCGTTTCCGGGAGTCCTTGGCAGAGCTGGGATCCGAGACCGCTGGAGGCCTGTGCTTCGAACGCTGGCCTAGCCCCTCCTCCCACCCCCAAGGCAGCTGCTTTGCTTTTCCCCGGCAGATCTCCCCTGGACACAGCCCCAACCACAGCCCACACCCCCAGCAGGAGGCCCAGGGCAGGTCTGCAGAGATGTGGCTGGCTAGGACCTGGCACGGCTGGGCAGCCCAGCGTCCAAGGGGCTGGCTCCTTGCCAGCAGGCCAGCGTGCCCAGGCTGCTCTGCGGAGGCCCAGGGGGAGGGAGCTGCCCAGGTTGCCGGCGCCCGAGGCCAGGGGCTGGGCACAGAGCACACAGCAGCAGGAGATGTAGCCTGTTGCCGCAGACAGGCAGGGAACGCAGGCGCCCAGCCCCGTGCTGCTCGCAGGCTCTTCTGCCCGTGCCGTGCGGGTCGGCTGGCTCCGCTGCTACCAGGCAACGCCCCGCCCTGGGTCTGGGCCCACAGGATCCCTGACTCGGCCTCTCCTTGCTGTCCCAGATGGGCCACGGGGGGCGGCCGAGACCCCACTACCCAGCGATGACTTTCTGCCTCCGGGTCCTGCCCTTCTGCTCCGCTCCAAGCACAATTCCTGGGCTGCCTGGGGCTAGCAGGGGTGGCCTGGCCCTCGCCCCGAGCCAGGCTGCGCCTCCCACCCCAGGCCAGAGTGAACCAGTCATCTCCTGTTTGTGTCCAGATACAGGTCGACCTGAAACCAGGGACATCAGGCTGCGCTCGGGGCCGGGGCCTGGTGGCCCATGGACCAGGCTTCCTGCTGGCAGACGCCCCCTGCCCCATCACATGGGCTGGAGTCCCCTGGCCAGGCAGCTGCCTGCTCCCCTCCGGGACACATCCTGTCTGGCCGAGAGCAGGGGGCTGGCTTTGAGGAGAGCAGGGAGAGGAAATGAACGGACAAGGCGGGTGCAGAGACCAAGCTGAACACCGGAGCCCGTCAGGCTCCCCCAGCACGTGCCTTAAGGAGCCCTGCAAGGGGCGTTTCCCGCGCGGCTGCCTCCTGCTCAGCCTCGGCCGCCCGGGCAGCAAACCTGGCTGGACTCCTTCCGGCCCCTGTGGCCTGGCACCTGTCTGACCGCGGCTGCAGCTGGTGGGCAAGAACCAGAGCCCGGGCCCCGCTGTGGGGCTGTCACAGCCGCCCGCCCCCAGGCCCTCAGGCAGGGCGGGAGCCTCCTGCTCGCCCCTGAGCATCACTCCTCCAGCGCCGAGACAGGCTCAGCTCCAGGCCCCGGGCGGTGCTGCTGCTCCCGGCCTCCCCAGCTCGGACTTCAGCTGCCCCAGCCCCTCTCTGGCGGCCACGGTGCTGCAGGCTGCACTCAGAGCCAGGGAATGGGGCCCCGGCAGGGCAATGCCAAATGCAGCAGGAGGAGCCGAGCCCCAGCGCGCTCGCCCAGGCCCCGGAGAGCAGGGCTGGGTACCGGCCGTGGGTCTGCACTCAATAAAGACACATGAGCTCCAGCTCCCATGTCCGCACCGAAGCTCCTGGCCCCCCAAGTGACTGGGGGCTACTGCTCTGGGGGAACCCACTGGGGGGGTGGAGGGTCCACGAGTCTCTTCTGTCCCCTGCCCTGCAATCCGCGCTGGTGGGGGCAGGGCATGGGGGAGCCAGTGGTTCTTGGAGGGAGCAGGGGTGGGCA